TTATAAGAGGGAGTTGAACAATGAGAACAAATGGACACGGTGGGGGGGAACATCATACACTGGGGCCTGTTGAGGGGGTGGGGGGCAAGGAGAGAGAGAGCATTAGGACAAATACCTAATGCATGTGGGGCTTAAAACCTAGATGATGGGTTGATAGGTGCAGCAAACCACCATGGCACATGTATACCTGTGTAACAAACTTGCACGTTCTGCACGTGTATCCTAGAACTTAAAGTAAAATTTAAAAAAAGTATCTTCCTCATGATTGTCATAAGGGTTAAATACATTTATACACATACACACACAAAATGTATGTATGTCTAATACCTAACAAGCACTCAGTGAACATTTGCAAAAACAGAACTTAATTGAAGGTGATTTTGAAAGAAAAAGTTCCTTAAACACTTTGTTTCCAAAGTGAGAGAAAGTAGAGAGGAGATAAGTTGGGTGGGTCAGGCTGAGTTGGACTCTCGGCAATTCTGAGTTTCTTTCTCCACAGATATTTACCTTTCGAGGGGTTGAGTTTCTTATTCTTCCCCAGTAAAAGTAGCTGATGATGGTTAAGAACATAGTCTTTGGGGTCAGACATGCATGCACTAGAAACCCAACCCCACTACTTACTAGTGTTGTGATACGTGACGTTGTATTACCTAACTTTTCTGAGCCTCAATATCTTTACCTATCTAATCACAGCAGTTTTGTTTCAAGGATTATATGAAATAATGCATGATTGACTTTGCTTGGCTCAGTCAGTACTAAAACATAGTGGCTATGGTAGCCACCATTGCATAAAGCAAAGGGCTTTGTTGTGGTTTGTATGTTTGTCTCCTCCAAATCTCATATTGAAATGTGACCCCCCCCATTGGAGGTGGGGCCTGGTGGGAGGTGTTTGGCTTATGGGGATCGAGCCCTCCTGAATGGCTTCGTCCCCTCCTCTCTTTAATGAGTGAATTCTTGCTCTGTCAGTTCCCTTGAGAACTTGCTGTTGTAAAGGGCCTGGCACCGCTTCTTTTTCCTCTCTTTCTCCCTCTGTCATCATGTGATCCCTGCTCCCCCTTTACCTTCTGCCATGAATGGAAGCAGCCTGAGGGCCTCACCAGAGGCAGATGCTAGTACCATGCTTCTTGTACAGCCTGCAGAACCATGAGCCCAATAAATGTCTTTTCTTTATAATAATTATCCAGCCTCAGTGAATTCTTTATAGCAATGCAACAAAATGGACTCAGACAGGACTTAATGCCTTCCCAGTAGAAGCTGGGAGCACAGGCTTGGCACCCTCCTCTGAGGAGAATGACTTGACTTGGTTGTACTGGAGGTGGCTGATTCACCCATCTTTTTTTTTTTTTTTTTTATGACCTTTGGCAGTCCACCTTTCTTATGATGGGATAGAGCTTTCTAGTCAACAAAGCACTTTCAAATGCATTCACTCCATTGCTACTCTTCTGAAGAAGGAGAATAGGGAAGGCATCATTAACAATGGAGTAGCTTTGGTTTGCAGGTAAGAAAACTGAGGTTTAGAGAGCATAAATTTCTTGGCCAAGGTCACCTAGCACGTGGCAGGGCCAGAACTGGCACCATCATGCTGTGACAGGGCTGTCCTCCCACTGTCCCCATGAGACAAATCAAAGGCCAGTTGGTAGTGTACGGAGTTTCCCCAGGCTGTATGATGCATAAGTTATGGGCTCTCGGGTGGGGTCTGGCTTAGAGGAGGCCCTTAACAAATGGTTGCCATTATTATCGGAGCATCTTTAGGGACTTCCACCTCTACGTCTGCCACCATGACTATTTTAAGCCATTATTTCCCTGTGTGGTTGATGAAGCTAACAATACTGATGTAAAATGGTTATGAACACCAGGACCAAAAAAAATATCTTTTCCTTATCAAGATGATCTATATTTGGAGAAGCATGGCTCTCCCCCTTCTATTCCATTCTCATATTTTGGATCGGGAGCGATTTTGCTTGAGAAACACAGTCAGGACAATTTCCATCTATAACTGCATTGTAAGGAAGAGGATAATGGAAATTTTAATGAAAACGCCAACGCAATGCAAATAGGAATCGGTTCTTTTGCAATAGGAAGCAGCTACTTTGCTCAACAGGCAACAAAACCTTTAGCTTGTGTTCATGAAAATGATGATCGTCTCCGGCTCCACTGAGATTTAACCAAGAGGGGGGAAAAAAAAGAATTTTAAAAGTTCATATGCAGTTCACTCAGAAGTTTGTCTCCAGACTTCTAGAACATTTCAATTTTTTAAAAGGGCACACAAAGAAAGAGACTGGACTCCTGTCCAAAAGCACACAGATTCTCTAGATCATAAGGAGTGCCTGAGCCAGTGTGCTGTTAGTTGTCTGCGCTTTTTGTTTCATGACTATGAAACAGCAGGATTGACAATGACATGCTGGACTAACCATGATCAGCCCCAGGGCCTGTGCCACCGAAAGGACTGCACAGCAATGGCAGCTCCTTCTTCTACCACAGTCTAGCATTCGTGCTGTGTGTGTGGTGGGTGTTACTTAGGGGAGGAGGAGGTAATAGTGAGACATGTGTTTTATGTGTTAAGGGGACAGAGACACTAAGCTTGATCCACTACGATGTCTGAGTCGGTCTGGTAAATCAATCACGAAAAGCTCAAAAGAGAGTTGCACAGTTACAAAGCCTTTGTCATTGAATGGTGGAGACTGTGGCATCAGTCCCACACCCTGTCTTCTGTAGGAAACAGAATGAGAGCGCAGTTGCACAGAGGTGGTTCCACTGTAGCTCCTCGTGTTATGCATGGCAGACATTGCTAATATTCACTCCAGTTCCCCGTTGGGCATGGTGGCTCACGCCTGTAATCCCAGCACTTTGGGAGGCCGAGGCATGTGGATCATCTGAGGTCAGGAGTTCGAGACCAGCCTGGCCTACATGGCGAAACCTCGTCTGTTCTAAAAATACAAAAAATTAGTCAGGCGTGGTGGTGGGAGCCTGTAATCTCAGGTACTCAGGAGGCTGAGGCAGGAGAATCGCTTGAACCCAGGAGGTGGAGGCTGCAGTGAGCTGAGATTGTGCTATTGCACTTCAGCCTGGGCAACAAGAGTGAAACCTGAAACTCCCCCTCAAAAAAAAAAAAATTCATTCCAGTTCCCATTCCCTCACCCCGATTACTCACAGAACTACAAGTTTGTTCCAAAAGGAGAAGCAGCCCAGATTTAAAAAACAAACAAACAAACAAACACTGCATTCACAGCCTCTCTTGCTGACAAGGGTGATGATAGACCAAACTGCAGTTCTGATCAATGAGAAATAGTTAGATGACTGGCAGGGATTTCTGGGAAAGTTTTGCTCTCCTGATTTGGTGCCTCTCTGTGTTAGATTGCAAGAATGGCCACAAGTTCTTACCCTTGTCATATTTTTGGAATTGACTTTGCAACTTCTCTCATGGAAAAGCAGTTTATTTTTTCACCCTTTGACTCTGGGCTTGGTCTTATGAATTGCTTTGGCCAGTGGCACAATAGCAAACAAGATGCAAACAAAAACAGGTTGCATGATGGAGATTCCCTTCTCTTGTTGTTCTTGGAAACCTGAAACTACCATGTGAAGACACCAGGGCTGGCCTGCTGTATGATAAGGGACATGTGTCCTGGAAACTCTTGTCTCTCTGGCCAACAGCATGTCAATCACCAGACACATGAATGATTCATACTAGATCATCCAACCTACACCCAACCCACCAGATGTCTGCAGATGTGTGAGTGAGACCCACAGAGACCAGTTGAGCTAAGCAGAGCTGAAGAACCACTCATCTGACACAATGGTTGTTGTTTTCAGCCACCAGGTTTTGGGAGGTGGTTTGTTACCCAGCAAAAGCCAACAGATTTATGCTTTTTCCCCATGCCACTTTCTTCTTCCGGCTTGGAATGTATACATGATACTGAAGGTGGAACAACCACCTTTGCAACCATGAGGACAAATGCTTTACAGAAAGACGGATGGGACCTGGCAAAGTGATGCTACCATGGGCCTGATAGTTGCACCATCCCACAACAGTCTGCCTCCAGACTTTGTGTTTTGTGAGAAAAATAAAACCCTGTGTTGTTACACCACTTGTATCATCCAGTTTTTAATTACAGACATCTGAATCCACTTCAGGTAGTTTAAGTAAAAAGCAGTTTATGAAAATATATCACTTAGCTTATGGAACCTCTAAAGAGCCAGAGAACCAGTTTCAGATTCTACGTAGCCAGGAAAAAGGGAAGCCAGATATCGCAGAGCCAAGAGAAAGGCCCCAGCACAGTGCAGGGCTGTTCTACTAGAAATATAAGTGTTGCCACCTATCATTGCAACCAAATTTTTATTATTATATTATTAAGGGAATGAACAGCAACATTTTCTTTTTTATCTTCAACTATTATTTTAAGTTCAGAAGTACATGTGCAGGATGTGCAGGTTTGTTACATAGGTAAACATGTGCCATGGTGGTTTGCTGCACAGATCAGCCCATCACCTAGATATTAAGCCCAGCATCCATTAGCTATTCTTCCTGATGCTCTCCCTCCGACCCCTCAACAGGCCCCAGTGTGTGTTGTTCTCCTCCCTGTGTCCATGTGTTCTCTTCATTCAGCTCCCACTTAGCAGCAGGAACATGCAGTGTTTGGTTTTCTGTTCCTGTGTTAGTTTGCTGAGGATAATGGCTCCTGGCTTTATCCATGTCCCTGCCAAGGACATGATCTCTTTCCTTTTTATGGCTGCATAGTATTCCATGGTGAACACTACCATTTTCTCCGTGGCTCCCCTGGAAGAACAGACGCCTCTTTCTCTGTGCTCTCCACATTGCTACCCCCATGCTTCTTACTTCTGTCCCAAAATCTCATGCAAGAGCACCTATTTGGTAGAGCCATGTATTTCAATCACTTCTTCTTCAGGCACTTGGTGAGGGAGGGTTTCCCTAGCCCTCTAGGGTTATAGGAATGGCCGAACATATGACACCCAGCACTGGATAGATGAAATGAACAGCGGTTTATTAGTCATATACACTCACAGTCCAGGGGAGGAGGACAGTGCATACCATACAGGGCCATATGGGGATTCTATTTGGGAACACAGTGAACAAACAGGGTCTGTGGGAGGCAGGCTTTGCAATAAAAGAGGGTGAGATGAGGCCTGGTTCCCATGAGAGGATGCATGTGGCTTGTTTGAATATTTCCGTGTGCTGGCAGGGGCCTGAAGCCCACCGCTCAGGGATAAGCAGACACTGGACCCGGTCTCTATGACAAGGAGGGCTGTTTGGTTAGGGGGAACTTATCTGCCACAGCAGACTGGGCAGGGGACTTGAGATTAGGCCATTTGAGGCCTTCCCATGCTATTGAATCTTAATTTCAGGTCTTCTACTACACCATTTCTCAAGGAAGCTCCGTAACTGGAAGAAGAATTAGGAAATCTAGTTTTAGTTTTCTATCCTGTAGCTCAGACAGGCAAGCTTAGAAGCTTGAGACAGTGTGTTGAATGAGCAATATTCCACCTTTTTTATTATTTAATGTCCACACATACCCTTCTTTCCACAATTAAACTTTTAAATGATAACAGCAGCGACATGCTCTTACCTTATACAACTAGCCCTTCTACAAATGAAAATATCTGTCCCTTCCCTGCAGGAGGAAAGACTCCGTGTTTCATGGTCAGTGTGTCCAGCTCTGGGTGATGTTTAGTCCTTTTCTAGTGCAGTCACAATCCTATCTAGATATCCAGTCACCTGGGGACTAAATAAATAGTAGGGGAAATGGAGGGGGGAAATTGGAAATACACATCAGAAAAAGAAAGAAAATATAGGGAGGACTATACTCACTTTCTGCAGCAGGTAAGGGAGTGACAAGAGGGCATAGCAGTGCCCAGTGGAAGTATCAGTGATGCCAGGAAGATGTCATGGTCTGCGTAGAGAGTTCTAGAACAGTGATAAGAGACAAGGATGGCTGAACTAATTGTATGGGAGCACATATAAGACCATCCAGGGCTTTTGGAAATACCAGATCTCATTCCTCATTGCAGGGGTCTGGATTTCTGCCTTGTAAGTGAGACGAGACCCAGCAAGAAACATGTTAAAAGAAGCAAAAAGACACAGTCAAAGTCCCCAAACAATATCCAGTTGGGAAGACAATTATTCAGTGCACAAAATGCCTACCCGCCCCACACTCCCCTCAAAAAAACCCCACATAACATTAAGGATATCCTGGCTCTATAAGAAGTACTGAGACAAGGAAGAAAAGAAGGTGCTGATCTGGGGTGTGTCTACCTGGGGAGGACAACAGATCATCATGATGTCCAATGGCCAGAACAGAGCCTCTGCTGTGCTCTCAGAGAGCATAAGAGCTTCCCAGTCCCAGAGAAGTCAAGTGACTCACTCACAGTCACACAGGCAAGGAGCGGCAGGCAAGTATCTTTCCGGATAGCACACTGCAGCAAACCATAATGGAGTAACTTCTAGGCAATCATTCTTTGTCTCGATTCTCCTTGCACTTTTCACTCTCCTCTCAGTCAAAGAAAAGAACTATTGTCTAATTACGATGAAGTCACTTGATTTCCTCATGCCTCCAGTAGGCAAACTTTCCCATCAGTCACCTGTTTCTCAGATGAACTTTTCCGGCTAATGGGATAAGAAAAAAAGTAGTTTCCGTTGTAACTGTATCTTATGCATATACTGTGGAAAGAACACTTCTTTGGAAGTCAGGAGACCAGAATTATTCTCCTGGCCTGGCCAGTGACTGCTGGAGGCTCTGAGCTGGTCCCTTCATCCCTGTGGGCTTCTGTTGCTTCATCTGCAAAATGATGGGGTTGGCCTGGATTCGTGGTTGTCCAGGATCCGTGGTTGTCCAGTTGCTCCTTAAAAACCTAAGATTACATGACAGTGTCTGAGCAGCAGAGAATGGGAGAAACCAACTCGGCAAGACTTTGGGTCCCAGAGAAGGCAAGTGACTCACTTGACTTCTCTCTGGGTCCCCATTTCAGCTAAGTTTTCTATATTGGGGTTCCCAGGCTAAGAAAAATAAAATCACGTGGAGAGTTACCCAGGCCCTAATAATCTGTGATTCCAATGTATTTGTTTGATGGTTCTAAAGATAGCTCCTTGCCCACACGCAAGTGAGTGAGTGAAATTTTGGATGGGCTAAAAATAAAGAATGCTGGTGTGATTTCCGGATTTTTTCAGAATGGCACAGAGAATGGACTGAGAAAAATGTTTCATGAGTAGGAATTATGTTGCTTTCCTGCCAAGATTTATCACATAAGCATGTTTTGTCCTTTGCAGCATCAGCTTTATTGTATTTCACTGTATGTGCATCTGCCTTAAGGACATAAACCAAAGACTCTTAGAGGCTGGGGCCACATGGTATCCAGCATGGAGATTAATCATCAGAACCTTCTAAAGAAGTCAGTGGGAACGATGAGAGAGTTCAGTGTTCTTCGTTTCCTCCTCCAGAATCTTAGCCATAATTGGGATTTATTTAGTCGTGTTATAAATACCCTACTACTATGACAACTGGGACAGCTACACTATTATTAGGACAACTGCATTATAAATAAATTTTAAGCAGAAGTTCTAGGCAAGTGAAGATACCTACCTTTAGTTCAGAACAGCTGTTAAATGGTCTGGTAGTAGATGAGTTGTAAGAAGACAGAGATTCCCAAATTGTGCTGTTTGGTATTAAAGAAAAATTGGCCCAAACATGGGCATGGTGGCTCACACCTGTAATCCCAACTACTTGGGAGGTGGAGATAGAGGGATCACTTGAGACTTGGAGTTCTAAACCAGTCTGGGCAACATAGTGAGATCCTGTCTTCGAAAAAAGAAAAACAAAGAAAGAAAGGAAAAGAAAGAAAAAGAAAAGGAAAAAGAAAGAAAGAAAGAGAAAGAAAAGAAAGAAAGGTAAAAATGGTTTCTAATGCTTTGAACTTTTAGCTAATGAAGTAAAAACAATGATACGTGGGACACAGTAAAATGTAGAGAATGATATATAGGAATCAAGATAATTTTAATTTGTCTACAGATGAGCAAACTGAAAGATACCATTAGGATGGTCTTCAAGTGCATGGAGATGTTTTGTGAATTAGATTCTTCATGGTCATTTTCAATATTCCAAAGAGAACAAGGAAGAAACGGACTTACATTCAGGAGATAAGACTTGGTTTGTTAATGGAAGTAAATGAAGACTTTTCTTTTTTTGTAATAAAACACTAAGGTGGACAAAATAAGGTCACCCTCAAATCTCTTGCCATTTGGCTGCCTGTCTTGGACAGGTATCAAAGGTGTCTGTTTCAAGGCAAATGGCTGAAGAGGGGGATCTTCATAGGATCTGAGTTACACTGATGAGTGTACATGAAGCATCTTTAGAAATGTGTGCTGATGAAATTGTTACCAGTCTATCACATCTGCAAAATGATGGATGCTTTTAGAACCTTTTTCTAGACATGCTTTCATTTGGGCTGTGAGAAAGGTTCCGAGGCAGCATTTTCCCTGTGTATGTGAAACAACAGAAACTCAGGGACATAGAGAAGTGAAGAGGCTTAACCACAGCCAGGTGAAAATGAGTGGAAAGGGCAGGTAAGCCCTGCTGTCATGGCCAGATGTGGACCCCTGCACTGCAGAGTGAGAGATGTCTGCCAGCAGGGGGCAGCACTGAGAGGATGGCGCTTGGGGGATGAAGAAGAGGGCCACCTGGCGAAGAATGGCTGCTTGTTGAGGTGTCTCTAAAGTGGGGCTTCTTGCCTCAGAGCATGATCAGGCTTTGGGATCAGATCCTCCCCTATTGGGTTGTATTAGTCTGTTGTTTTCACGCTGCTGACATACCCGAGACTGGGCAATTTACAAAAGAAAGAGGTTTAACTGGACTTACAGTTCCACGTGACTGGGAAAGCCTCACAATCATGGTGGAGGCAAGGAAGAGCAAGTCACATCTTACATGGATGGCAGTAAGCAACGAGAGAGAGCTTGTGCAGGGTAATTCTTCCTTTTGAAACCATCAGATCTTGTGAGACTTTTTCACTGTCATGAAAATGGCATGGAAAAGACTTGCCCCCGTGATTAAATTACCTCCCACTGAGTCCCTCCCACCACAAGAGGGAATTCAAGATGAGATTTGGGTGGGGACACACAGCCAAACCATATCACAGGTTCATAGACTTCCTAAGGTGTCGTTTCAACAACTCACTTTACAGGGTTGGACACAAAAGTCACACCATCCATGTATTTATAGCAAGAATGATCTTTTTCCCCAGTGACTGGACCACTCATCCATCCAGGGCTAATGAGCTACATAGGAAGTGGAAGCTAAGGACAAACTCTTGGAGCTGCTAGGGTGGAAAGGTGACTTGGACTTGAGCATAAATCCCCTGTGAAGATTTCTAGCTGTCTGCCTTTGATGGGGCTCCAAGTCTTATGTCTTCACTGTGCTCAAACCAGCTCTCAGCAGTCCTGTGTACATGCTCATACTCCATTCCTAGAATCAAGCTTTAAAATCAAAGTTTTAAAAATAACACACACCAGATCATCAATTGTTAAAGTTTTGTTTGTGTTTTTAAAAATGTTTTAGCAACAAGGTCTCGCTCTGTCATCCAGGCTGGAGTGTAGTGGCACGATCATAACTCACTGTAGCTTACTTCTGGGCTTGAGGGGTCCTCCTGCCTCAGTCTCTTTAGTAGCTAGGACTATGGGTGCGTATCACCACACCTGGCTAATTAAAAAAATTTTTTGTAGAGATGAGATCTCTCTATGTTGCTGAGGCTGGTCTTCAACTCCTTGCCTCAAGTGATCCCCCCACTTTGACCTCCCCAAATGCTGGAATTACCAGTGTGAGCCACCACACCTGGCCTGGTCATTGAAGTTTATGAAGATTATTTGCAGCCATGGAATCCGATCCAGCCTGGAGAAACATTTTTATTAAAATGCCCTGTGAAATACTTCTGTATTCTACCCTATTCCTCTGGTGATTAGATCTACTAGCATCCTTCACATACTATATTCCTTTCCTCTGGGCAGTGCTGAATGTACCAGGCTATTCTCCCCTTCGAATTATACATTCTAAGATACTACCCCTCACCTTTTCAAAGGCCCATTCTTTCTTTAAGTGCATTAATATTATTCTGATTGCAGTTCAGTCCAGGCCATTTGGAGATTTATTGGCGCCACTCCCAAGTTTAAGGGACAGCAATGTGTCTAAGGATGGGGGGATTCAAGTATAAGAGAGTTTGAGGCAGCAAAGGAGCCCAAGAGAATCTGGGATTTCTCCTACAGTCCATCAGATTATGTCCTGGAGACAAACACTAATAAGTGACTCTATATTCCTTGACATGTGATTTTCTTGACATATTCATTTTCTTTTTGAACAATTTCTAATTTTGCTTTGAATAGAGCAGGAGCCACCTTGCTAGAGAGCTGTCCGCCCCACCCCCAGCTCTGCACTTTCCACCAATCCCCATCTTCCTTACCACCAGCAAATTTCTCCTAGTGCCCTGCTGTAGCACACAGTGACAGCTTCTCTTCTTTCCGACCCGTACCTCACTTGGTTTGACCTTGCTTTGACCTTGCCATGACTTCTTCAGGCCTCAGTCTCCCATCCGCAGGAGGCAGTCTTAGACTTGACAGTCTCCAATATTTCTGCCAACTCTAGATTCTCAGAAAGATGCTCTCAGGAAAAAGAACCCCAAATTAAGCAAATTGGCATTGACTTTTGTTTCTGTTCTTTCTCTTTATTCTGTAGCTGCCAAATCTTTAGGTATTTGAAACCAAGTGCAAAGGGTTCCCTGTGGGTTTAATTTCAGTTGCTCTCTGTGTATTTTTTATTATGCACTTACCGAGGGACAAGTCTCTGTAAGTGTCCCCCAGGCACAAGTGTCCTTTTAGTTCTCAGAAGCTCGGCAACCCACATACAGTCTTCTAATTAAAAATGTGCATTTCAAGAAAATTTTGAAGTCACACCCTCATACGGTGGAAGAAAGGAGCTCTGTTAAACTCTCCACACACACAAGAATGAATCTCATTGTTAGAAAGAGATTTTCTGCTCTACCAATCCTTGCTCCAGATTTCAGAATCCACCTCAGGCATCGAAGCTTCAGATTATCAGCCCCATGGGTCATAAATACTGACCTCTGTTTACCATCTGTTAGCTCCATCACACAGAGACTCAATTCAGTACACACATCCTGAGAACCTACTACATGTCTGGCCTAATGCTCAGAGTCACTGAGGACCCAAGGTGGTCTATTGCAAGGGCTCAGTACTTAGACTCTGAGTGAGTCAGCTGTGGTTTGGATCCCAGGTTCTAGAGTGCATTCACACCATGACCTCTGGGATCCTCAGTGACTTCATCTGCAAAACAGATGGAACCTGCCAGGTGAGGTTGTTGTGATGCGTTCATGAGGTAATACATGCAAAGCATCAGCTCAGTGTCCGATCCCTAGCAAGCCCTTAACAAATGATACCTATGATAATGATCAAAAAGGGGAAGATGACAGATTCATTTATTCAGCAGGCATTAACCAAGAGCCTTTTATGTTCCACATACAATGCTGGGACAATGAATATGAGTTGGTAAACAGAGCAGGCATAGTAGCTGTTCTCATGGAACTTGCAATCTCGCAGGAGAAAGAGTCTCTGTAAAACAAACAAATCTATAAATATATAATGACAAGTTGTGGTAGGTGCTATGAAGGAAATGAACTGGTGTCTGAAAGTGCTTGGGAAGTTAGCGTGGGCAGAACCATGTGGCCTTGGAAAAGAAGAAAGAGGATTCACCACAGCACAGGAAATACTCTTGTGAAAGGAGGTGGTCAGGGCAGTTTTCACAGGACAGAAGAAGGAGCCCGGGAGAAAGAAACACATTTATCAGAAGAGACTT